CTGCCACACATATGTTTTATTTTAAGATAATTGTATTGGTGCCAAGGGGTAGAGCATACCTGTAATCCCAGCAACTCGAGAGGCTGAGGCAGGAGGAGCACAGCCTGTGCGATTTAGCCAGACCCTGTCCCCAAATAAAATGTGAAAAGGGACAGGGTGTAGCTCAGAGGTAGAACCTTCACTTAGCATGCTTGAGGCCCTGGATTCAGTCTACAGGAATGCAAAGAAAAAGCAGGCTGTATTTTTAAACAGAGTAGAATTATGTACACTTTGCCAACCTCATTGATGCCTGGCTTAATAGGATTAGACAGAGGTACCATTGCAGGAACTGAGTTCTTCCTTTCCTTCTTTTCCCTGGTAGCTAGTGCTTTCTGCACCTCAATGTAAATTCAAGGAGTATATTTTTAAATTTTAGTTGTTTTTAGATATCGAAAGGATTTTTCTTCAGTGACTTGTTCATTCATTTAATACTATATTGCTAGGGCGAATACTGTTGTGTGCAGATGCATTTCACTTACCCTGGGTGCTGCAGGTGACCTGCCACAGCTGGGGGATCCCCTTCCATTGAGAGTATGTGGATTATTTCCACATTTTCTCTACTGTGGAGGTCATGGACACCCCGTTCTCATAGCCTTCCAGTTCTGGTAGCTGCAGTGTACATCTCAGAGGAATTGAGGGCAACAGGGTATATGAATGTCCTTGACTCTCAAAGAGGCAACGCCAAGTTGTAACGGTCAAAACCAACTTGAACTTCCAGTGGAAACATAGGCAACCATTTTATATGGATGGTGGTCCTGGGATGTGCTTCCAGGACAGCAGCCTCAGCCTGGGGTTGTGTGAGCAGCACTTCCCAGAACAAACAGTGAAGGGAGCATGTGACAGGATGTACACTGTCACTGGCGGCCAAGAAATGTAGATGCAGACCAAGATGTGATGCCACTGACTTCCACTGACAGACTTAAAAGTCTGACAAAGCTCAGTTACAGTGAATGTTGAAGGAGATCCAAGGAGTTCCCAGAGAAGGACTCTCAACTCAGGATGAGTGAGGTTCTTGACAAATGCCACAGAAATGAGCTTGAGGACACATCAGTTAGATTCAGGTTTATTTAGGAAAGTAGAAACCCACTGAAGGGAGAATGTGGCTATCTTGAAAGAGGTGCTATAGGGTCCCA